CACCATGAACACTCCACAGTAAGTTTTTTTTCTTTTTTTTTTTTTCTTTTAATTCGTTATTCGAAAAGAACGCGACGCGCCGATGCGCTGCGACGGGTGAGAACCGCGATCGTGTAATCGTATAATATATAAGGAACTCGAACAACACTAAAATATCAGAGAAAATCCAAGCAACGTTCAGCGGTATAATCACAGTTTCCTCGGAACGTTTCTTGAACGTTTCTCCAAGATCTTCGTCGATCTCGCGCTGTTTCGCGCCGGAAACGCGAAATCTCGCACTATTCTCGTTGCGCAACAACGAGATTTTCGACTGGATCTCTTTTATCTCTTTGCGCCAAGAAACGTGATTTCTGACTAGAGCTTCTCATAGAATATCTGAGAAAATTTCACGGTAGAGGAAAGACGCATCTTTTGATTTTTATCGATTCGTGCCGTCTGTCCGGCTCGTGGGATAAGAAGCGATCGAGGGAAAAAAGCGCGAGCGAATCGAGAAACGTCGAGAGCGGAAGATTGCCATTTTCCTCCATTACCGGAACGACTGACAATTTTTCTCTTCTAATTAATAATATTATTATTAATTGTTCTTTAGAGGAAATCATCGATATCACCGTTCTCGCACCCGTCGGGCACCGCGATTTTAGGGGTTCGTAGAGATGTTGAGGCTCACGTTTTTCACATCTCGCTCTCTCTTTCTCTCTCTCTCTCTCTCTCTCTCCTGCTTTCTCTCTTTCTCTCTCTCGCTCTTTTTCTCTGTCTTTCTTTCTCACACTCTCTATTATATTTCCTTTCTTATGTACTTTGTTCATATATTATATAGATATCTATATATATAATATATATATTTTCTTCTTCCCTCATATTTCCCGCTAATCTGTTTCGGTGAAAGCTCGTTCCTAATCATTTATTTGTTCTTTTTTTGTTATTTTTATACTTTTTATTTAAATTACTCCAATAAATTCATCGTTTATTTAATCTATCCTGCGCGCATCATCATCGATCGACAATAGCTTCTCATTTAATAGTTTATTAATTTATTTTGTTTTTGTTAAATTGAATTTCATAATTTTAACATCCTACCTAGATAACTGGTCATTATATTACTTGTCAATAAATAATACGTAAATACATAGGTATACATACTTCATCGTCATCATCTCTCTCTCTCTCCTTGTCTCTCTCCCTTTCTTTCTTTTACTCTTACCTTTCTTTCTAATTCTCTCTTAAATACTTTTCTCTTGCATATCAATTCATACGTATGAAGGTATCGATAAATATAAAAATTCTCTATTCAAGTATATGACAGAAAGAGAACGATGATGATGATGATGATAATGACCCTCTCTCATGAACATAATCATAATATCAATAATATTAATAGTAATCGCAATAATAATAATAATAGCACAATAATATTATTCGCAAAGATAACAAGCATAATAGTCGTTAAAAATAATTGGTATGGTAATAATCGTATTTATAACAATATCGATCGTTCTGGTCTATCTTTTTCGATGTCCCTTACGCCTATTCTTTCTCTTTCTTCTATACATTTCTTTCTATTACAAAATTCTCGTCCTCTCTTTCGCCGATCGGCGAAGTAAAATCTTGGTCGCGCATGTCTCCATAAAACGACATTGTTAGATTCTCGCTTTCTTGACGACTGATTTTCAAATGAACGCACCACTGCGTCCGGTGAATGCGATAAAAAAAAATGATCATGAAACACAAACAAAGAATGAACAATAAATAATCGGACGAATGACAAGATGAGCACGTAGGCGATAGATACATATGTATGCGCATGGGAAAGTAAATCTCGCGATCGAAACAGAAAATCCTGTGTAACTTACAGGCGGTAAAAAACTTACGCACTAATCTATAGAAACTGGGCCCGAAGGCCACTCTATCGCTTCTCATTTGCAGCGACAAGACAAATCGCTTTCATCACCGTCTTCCCCGATTTCACCATATCTCAATATCGTCATCAACGATCGGTCTAATCGAGCACCATCATTTTCGTGTAGGCACGAATGTGTCTCGTATAGAGGAAAGCTTTCTCCAACTTTCATTCGGCGAAATCCATTTTTAATCATCATGATCATGCTTCAAGATAAAACAATGTACGTCCTGATCTTTTAGGCTTTTCTCATTTTTCAAATATTACTTAGAATTCTCTCGATTTCTCATAATAAAATCATAGGATGTCTATTGACATGATGAGCTATCATTTTTGCGATATTAATTTAATTTCGTCAAAGTATTATTTGCGTCTGATCTCGCAAGAATGATGAGTAAAGGTGTCCTCTATAAGTTACAGTTCGATATTGTGCTTAATCGCACTTGTCTCTCTCTGTTTTACTTCTTGTATATCAATTCTCCTTCTGGCCTATATATTCTCCTGTAATTCCGGATAATCAACTTCTACGTACACGTTCGGTACATCCTTAAATCGCAGCTATAGTCACTTTCGCATCAAAACCGACACGTTTTGATTTCGATTCGAATTTAATTAATTCAAGGCGATACATCGACTCGACATGACACTGTCGGCATGCGACAATTGCGATCTAGGGGTACACACGCAGGGTCGGCACTAGATGGATTTTTTAAGGTACAATTATAAGAATATTAAGAGTCAAGATATTTGGTACGACCCGGTTTGTTTTTCAATCTTTTAAAAAAGACGGAGGGTATTCCCAGACAGCATAAATGTCCAAAATTCATAAAAAAATTCGAAAGAACTTAGTTTTCCAAAAGTTTTTTAGTACAGACAGTTACTGTGTACATGCATTTTGGACCTTTGCACTATTTGAGCACTTAACCATCATCAACTGCCTCATGAAGACTCGCTGATAAACGCGTATTCCTGCATCAGGAAGTCACGGTATACTTTTGCTGTAAGATGAAAATGAATGGAAGGCCTGCCATCGACTTACTAAAAATAATCATATATTATGTAGAATCTCAAATAAGGGCGATGATCGGCACATTTTCTTTCCGCGTTATCATATCGTAATCGTCATCGTCGTCTTATCAGTTTATCATGCTTTGTCTTAAAACATCTCAGTTAAAAAAATGTTAAGTACAAAAAGTTTGATCTTAATCATTTTCCCGAATACATTTTCGCTAATTTCATAACCAAACCAGCGACAAACCGCGAAATTCATCTAGGAACGAATATTTATTTAAAGATCAACGATTAGCCTTCTTCAGACATTGTCAATACTTCAGAAAATAGCGATATTTCAGAGAACATCGGCCTTTCTCGCAGTTGGGATTTAAGTACCGCAACAGATAGAACTTTGTTCGATCTGTCATTACGAAGACAATGATGTGATTTCTTATAGCGGAAATTTTAACCCGTTTCTTTTGATTGACCTTTCTTCCTTAAGCCTTTCTTTTGACACTATGTCACGGTTTAAGCGTCTCTAGCAACTCTTCCTTCAAGGTCCATCAGTCAGTTTTTTCTGCCATCATCGTTTTTCTTTTGAAGAATTCTTTTGGACAGGTTATTTTTCGCTTGATAAATTCTCCTTTATCTTATGAGTTTACAAATGTCTTCAGGTATTTCCTCGAATCATATCTCAAGAAAACTTTCCTGCAATACCTAACTGTAAGATGGATGAACTGCAAAATTATTTATGCGACGCTATAATTATTCGATTACTGTAAGATACTTTTACTATATACTTTTTCGTATCTGATATTTCTTTTAATAGAAATAGCGAGGCGATATGTAATCAGGTGAAGATTTTGGGTGCGGTCCACTTGACACTACAAATGTTTCGAAGCATTTGATTAACGAATCGGAAAAAAAAATTTTATTAACTGATTTTATTAACTAATCAAAAAATGTTTCAAATTTGTAATATCAAATGAATTGCAGCCTTTATTTCTTTCATAAAACAATTCATTGTCCACCATGGAAATCTCGCACTAATGTTATCAATGTCTGCAAAATTCATATCAAACTAAAGATCAAGATTAATCAAAAAAAAGAATTAATATCAAATAATAGCAAACTTTGCTTTGATTAGTCAAATTCAATCTTAATCTGAATCTTTAGTTTAATACAGAAAAAATAAAAGATTGTGCTTCGATCGCTGTTTTCTAAAGTATCATTCGTGTCACAATTTCAGAAAACAAAGGCCTTCAGTCAAAGGTAATTTAAAGAAACGATCGAAGACGAATTGTTCGTCCGTCGGATGGACGTTTTTTTGAGACATGTCATCATCGCCCTGCACTCTCCTCACGACAACGAAACGCTCTACAGATTTCTTCCGGCATCATCCTCGTCGGACTCCTCGTTTAGCTTGGACCGTGTCGTCTGTATGGTTGACGCAGCGAATCTATCAAGTAACCACCACTCCTCCGCGTATCTCTATTCTCTACGATATAGAAACACGACATACAGATAACTCCTACCCTAGTACTTCTCGATGGAATTTTGCTCCGTTTTACCTATGCACGGATAGACATTTATGACGAGAAAGGGGACCGTAACAACGAAGGATAATAATTTTTGCAGGTGAAACGTGGATCGTTCTCCTCGTGCCTCATGTCCGTACGTATCCCGTTTAAGGACAATACGTAATCCATCGATGACACGAACGATAAATCCTCCCGATATTTGCGCGTCCGTCAAACGCGCATTCTATCTTGTTCACGATAGCCACATTCAGCAGAATATTTATTTTACAATTGTAAGTTTTTTCGTTGAAAAGAATTATTCCTTTAGACATAAAAGTATAATCCAAACTTGAAGAAAATTTCTGACAATTGCAAAATAAATTCTGATAAACGTGGCCAATAGATTTATTCTTTATTGATGAACTAATGTACACTGGTTCAATAAGTTGAAACAAATATAGTATTTCACTTCAACTTATTACATCATGTGCAATTCAAAAAGTTCTTTGATAAAGAGTAGACCTATTGGCCTAATATATGCCTCCCCGCGTAAGTTAAAATGCGGTACTTCTCTTTTCTTTTTTTTTCTTTTTTTTTTTAACTGATACACTAAATACTACGCGGTGCGTCTTGAAGCTGCAGCTGTGTCAAAGATATTAAAAGTTTTACTTTGATTTGCTGATCGAGGAGAGAATGCGGGCGAGGAGGTCTCGCATCGATTGTTCGTGTTCAGTGGATCAAAAATAGAAATATCCTAAAATCAATTTATAATTTTCGATAGCGCACAGATTGTCACAGAACCGCAGCGCTTGGACCGTCGTCGCTTTGCGATCGATCGTCGCTCATGCAACGTCGTAATCATCGTGTTTGTTTTAGTTTCAGCGCGAAATCTTTGCAAAAATGTCTTTGATTTGAGTGATCGATAAGATATTGCAGGCGATATCAGCACACTACGGGCTGCATACAGTGCAGAATGTGGAAATATAAACATCTGTCGATGAATCTGTTATCAGCTCAATGAATCTTAATCAAATGTAAATTTCTCCCTATTAATAATCGGCTTCTTAGAAGTAAATAATTAATTTATACCTTGTATTCCCGTGCAAGAGAAGAAACCCTCGCGATCTCTCTCTTATTTTCTCTGTTTCTTTCTTCTCGTCGCCCGCATCGTTTCCTCGCAAAGGAATAAGGAGAACGTCCTAAATTAGATTAAACAATCCCAATTTGAAACCTGAGCGCGATTCACACAAAATCGGCCTCGCTTCGTCAGGACTGCCTCTACATTGTTCGACAGGATTTCTACGATCCTGCTAGGCCGCGGAGCTATGACCGCGAGGGAATCTCGAAAATTCGAAATGCTGTTCATCTTCGGGTCTCCTAGGAGGGGGGTCAGGAATCACCTGACGGGACGGTAGGTCGGCCTGAGCGCTCGACTCTTTTTCTCTTCTTTTTTTCTATTTTTCTCTTGTAGAAATGGGTCCGAAAATGCAGAATGATAACGCATTCTGGACGCCGCTCAGAACTCGACTATTACGGCTGAGCAGGCTGCCAATCCCTAGAACTCGAGCCTGTAGGCGCTGCAACTAGTCTCGTGATCCTGGAGATTGATAGTACATCTGGATGCGGACGGCGATAGATCTATGTGGTTCGCCGCGAGCGCTTCCTCGTTATCGGCGACCCAATAGCCCAAAGTATCGGTATCATAGGTCGGAATCATGGTTACCTCTGAAAAAAAAATAAAAATAATCATTAAAAATTGGCAAAGGCCAGAATGAATAAAAGAAATAATTAATAAAAATTAAATGCAGATGTCAAAGCGCAATATTCATACATTTATTATTAAACTATTACATGAAAAATATATCTACAATAAAATGTAATCGTATCGCAAAGGAGAATTGTTTTCCTCCTCAGTGTAAAAATTAAGCAGTAAATATTAAATTAAAAGAGTTTAAAAGTAAAATTAAGATATAAATTATGTATGGACACCAACAATTATAGATTATTCGCAAATATAAATGAATTATATTTTGTAAGTTCTAATTAAATATGAAAATATAAATGATATGAAAACATGAAAATTATATCAAAATACGCTCGGAACATGTATTGGTATAATTAGCGTAGATATTATTCTCATTTGAATTAACATTCGAATATAAATATATTTATAATAAATCTTAATTAAGATTTAAATCTAATTAATATTGTTTTTGTCATGATCAAGATAAGTTTTAATATAATGATAAAAAGAAGTAGTAATAAAGAAATAAATAAATAGTTAATAAATATTAGGAATCTCAATTAAATTGTTAGTTATCAAGAAAAATATAAGCAATATTGATTATTGTAAAGTTTGAGTTACATTCTTTAATTTTAAATGGAATGTACAAATATAACAATAATTTATCATGAAAAGATGTAAATCTATAATGTTTTCAACACAATCTTAATAAACTTACCGAGATCTTTATCCTCCCAAGTCTTTTTAGCTTCCAATAGAGCGTCATAGACTTCTCGGCTGGGCTCGGTGCCGCTAAAGACGTAATATCTCGCTCGCACTCTCTTGAAGAATTCTAAGGATGTGTAATACGAATTTCCGTGATGGGGCACATACGCCAAATCCATGTAAACCGGTTGAACTTTATTCTTCGAATCTTTTATCTTCTTCTCATTTTTACCGGGACTTTCTGAACGTTTTTTGTTCTTGATATTCTCTGACTGAATCTTCTTCGCTTGTTTCCGTTCTTTTTTCGGTGTACTGGGTGCTCCTTTGTTCGATATCTCATTAGTCACTGGTGCGGGGGAAGGCAGCCTAAGAGGTTCTCCCCAATTTTTTACAACATCGAAATTCAAAGTGTCGGAGGTTGTCTCACTTGAGCACGATGGAAATTGAGCAGAGTTCTTCAGATTAAACTTTTTGGGCGGTTTAGGAGACGGCAGCCCAAGAGGGGTTCCCCATCCCTCCAAAGGATCTTTTTTCGAATCACCCTTTGAATCATCTTTATCATCCCGGAATGAAGACGATGGATGATCTTTTTCGTCGGTTGCTTCATGACGAAGATTACCATTTGTGTATCTGGGCGCTATTCCGCTGCTGAAAGTCCCTCCGATCTCCTTCATCTCTTTATCCATCAGAGCTTTATCGAAGTCGAGGTCGGCCTCGTCGACGTATCTCTTTGCATCCAGTTTTTCTCCATAATCACCAGCGGGCTCCTTTTCTACTGTGAATCGACTGTGAATGGGATCACTGCTTTTCTGCATACCAGTCTCACCGTGAAAAGTTTTCATAGCAGATATCTGAGGCGGTACTGCTGGCAGCTCACCATAGAAGCTGCTACTCATCGCGGCCACCGAGAATTCCACTTGTTTCTGCTCCTCTTGTTTATCAGAAGATGATTCATAGTGATGCGTTATTTGCGGTGAATATCCGACTTGTGAGGTTGAAGAAAGAGACGAACTGGGTGGTTCATCGTCAGAATAAGTATGTCGCTCCTCGCTGCTACCCCATGGGTGTGTCATGACTTTACTACGTGTGCTACTATATTCACTCGATGGACTGACCGGAGCATGATCCTTTTCGCCGATTATGTCGTCGGATCCTGGACTATCGCCACGTTGCAATTCCGAGGATTTGATGCTGCCGATAATGCTGCTGATCGCGCTTTCCGCAGCATCTTTGCTTGGCAGACGTTCGTCTACCTTCACATCAGTCTTTTCCGCCAACACAACTGTCTCGCCTTTCTCATTTGTCGTTTCTGTGACTTCCCTGGTGGTCGTTACTATTTCACCTTCGTCGGAAACCGTCTTTGTAGTCGTAACGATAGTTCGAATCATCTCGCCCGACCTGAATCCTTCCGGTGTGCTGGTAGAGGATCGACAATCGGATCTTTTATCAGGCGTCGATCTACCCGATACATGAGGTTGAACTACAGCGCCGTCTCTAATTAACGGCGATGTAGGAACCTCTGGAGTAGACTTGCCACTGAAGACGATATCCTTAGGCAACGATATATCCGGTGAAGACTTACCCGAATAACTTTTGTCATCAGATATAAGTTCTCGTATCAAAGGAGACACCGGATGTTCAAATTTGTCTGCGTCTAAGCGTTCTTTTATTGTAGATTCAAGTTTAGCTTCATGTTTAAGATCGGGTGTCGATTTACCAGAATCGGAATAGAAGGCTTTTACGTCGGGCGTTGTAGTACCCGATGTCACAGTCGTAATCGTTTCTTTAATAATTTTTTCTGCAGATTTAGTAGTTTCCGTCAATTTTTCTAATACTTCCTCGCCGGCCAAAGTGTCTGTGCTCTCTTTGACGTCTGTCTTTGTGGTAACTTTTCCGTCCGGTCCAGTAATCGTGGTTACAGTCGTCACGATTCGCTTTATATCGGCGCTGGCTGCGTCACCTTCGTCACTCACAGCCTTGTAAGTTGAATCTGAAGTAGGATCTGTGTGAATTTTCGAAGGATCAGCTTGTGCTAATTCGGCATCTGCTAATTCCTCTGTCACGATTGTTCGCGTTGTTTTTTTCGTTGTAATAGTCTTCATATATTCGCCAGAATCTTCCTTCGAGTCGCTAATTTCTTCATCAGGGATGACAATCTCGCGTCTGATCACTTTTGTGATAATTTCAGGCTCATCTTGCTCAATAATTTCACGTTTGACAACTTTAGTGACTACTTCCGGCTCGTCATGTTCCATAATTTCCTCCTTAATGATCTTGGTAATCGCTTCGGGCTCATCTTGTTGAATACTCGACTGTTCAATTTCTTTAACTATTTCTTGTGGTCCAAATCCTGGTGGTTCAATTCCTTTCATGACTTCAGTTGTCTTCCCAGATTCCTCCTCTTTAATCACTTCATGTTTGATTGTCGTCTTACTTACAATAACGTCGCCATCCGATTCGGCCGCATGACCGGATGTAACTGTTGCCGAAATCCCCGCAGATTCTTCAGATTTGTCTTTATCGACAGTTTCCGTAATTTTGCTTTCTCTCAATATCGTAATAGTTTGAGCAGATTGCACAGCCTTCGTGTCTTCCACATCTGTTCTTGTTATGTGAGTCGTGGTCAGAGTAGATTCCGATAACTTTTCAGGCACTTTATCGGTTGATTCGATTTTGGAAGCAGTGTCATGTGTAAATTCCGGAGTCGATTTTCCAGACAATGTGGTTATATGTGTCGTTCTCATCTCCGTCATACCACCAACGAAGGCCTTGTGAAATTGGCTCTCATAATCTGATGGATAATCGGATTTATCCAACTGTTGCTCACCCGATTCTGGATACATATCTCTAGCATGCGGCAATTCATAATCTACATCCGTTGTTCCCTCATAATGATACATTGCTTTATCGTAGTCTTCTGGTTCTTCTTCTTGATAAATTTCCACATCGATCACAGATTCTCTTGGGATCTTTCTCTTTAATATAATTTCTTCCACTATTTCTAGGATAATATACCTAGGTAGAGAAGTCATGATGATTATCTCTTCGAGTATCACTTCCGTAATTTTCTTTCCTTTCTTTATATATTCTTCCTCCAAGAGTTTTTCGATTTCCATTCGCTTCTCTTCCGATATGAGAATCTCCTCATCTATATGCGGCTCTGATCGAGCTGGACTATCCTGAGTTGATTTGTCGGAAGGAATAGGTTCCGGACTTAAGCTGGGGCTAGCAGAAAGCGCCGCTTTCGAATCCCTGCCATATCGATCGCTCCCTGCAGGAGATATTTTGCCATCCAGACTTTCCTTCGTAGTATCACCTGATTTTTCATGACTATGAATGTCCTCTTGAGTAACATCTTGAGTTACTTTTCCAAAATCTACGCTAGCTGATGTAACAGGCTCCTCTCTTTTTTCAGAAATATCCAGATCTTTTTCTCCTGATTCTCCTAAGTCGCCTTCAATTATGGTGTTCCTAAGTATCTTTTTCTTCACAATGATTTCTTCAATAATTGTAATGAGAATGTATCGTGGCACAGATTTAACAATGACCATTTCTTCCAAGACTTCCGGCGTGATCTTCTTCTTTTTCATAATGAATTCCTCAATAATATATTCTTCTACTTTCGCTCTTTCTTGCGGTGCCAGCAATTCCGTTTCGGATTCTTTTCCGTATTGAGGCTCGGAGGAGGCTTTGTCGTCTACGAAATCGAAGACTGCACTCCTAGGTATATTTTGCCGGTTAATAATGTCTTCTATTATTTCCATCACTATAAATTGAGGCACCGAATACGTCATAACTAATCTCTCGATCACCGTCAGACTAATCTTTCTTTTCCTCACGATGAACTCATCTATGATGTACTTCTCGATCTCCGCCTTCTTCTCGGCTGTCACTTTAATGACATCTTCTTCTTCATCATCTGATTTTTCTACCTTGCTCGGTTGTCCGATGTCCGGCTCTTTAAAATCGGCAAATCGTTTCTCGCGGATCTTCTGCATTTTTTTCTCGATTGTCTCAGGAGAAGTTATAGGACTCTTACTATCTTTCTTACATTCAACCTTTTCATCAAGTGGTTTCCCCATGTCGAAATGTTTTTCCTCTTGAAATGGTTTCTCTGATAATTTGTCATCGAATAAACTGGCTGTTCTAGATCTGGTTGGTGTTTTCTCACCAGCATCGAAGACGCTTTGCGAACGTGATCTATCCTTTGGAGTTTTATCCACTGGCGAACTAGCTCGCGACGATTTAGCAGATTCGTCTTTTGGAATCTTTCCAGTATCCAAACTAGGCGAAATTGATTGTTCTCCCTTTGCTTCTGGTATTTGCGAAACTTTAATATCATCAAACCTCTCACTGGCAACACTAGATGATCTAGATTTGTCCTTTTGACCGTCGGTTGAACTCGGCGAAATTAATTGTTCTGCCTTTACTTCTGATATTTGCGAAACTTTAATATCATCAAACCTCTCACTGGATGATTTAGCTTTGTCCTTTTGATCATCGGCTGAACTTGGTGAAATTGATCGTTCTCCCTTTGCTTCTGGTACTTGCGAAATTTTAATATTATCAAGCCTTTCACTGGCAACACTAGATGATCTAGATTTGTCCTTTTGATCGTCGGCTGAACTCGGCGAAATTAATTGTTCTATCTTTGCTTCTGGTATTTGCGAAACTTTAATATCATCAAGCCTCTCACTGGCAACACTAGATGATCTAGATTTGTCCTTTTGACCGTCGATTGAACTCGGCGAAATTGATTGTTCTCCCTTTGCTTCTGGTATTTGCGAAACTTTAATATCATCAACCCTCTCACTGGCAACACTAGATGATCTAGATTTGTCCTTTTGATCGTCGATTGAACTCGGCGAAATTGATTGTTCTCCCTTTGCTTCTGGTATTTGCGAAACTTTAATATCATCAACCCTCTCACTGGATGATTTAGATTTGTCCTTTTGATCATCGGTTAAACTTGGCGAAATTGATCGTTCTCTCATTGCTTCTGGTATTTGCGAAACTTTAATATCATCAAGCTTCTCACTGGCAACACTAGATGATCTAGATTTGTCCTTTTGATCGTCGATTGAACTCGGCGAAATTGATTGTTCTCCCTTTGCTTCTGGTATTTGCGAAACTTTAATATCATCAAGCTTCTCACTGGCAACACTAGATGATCTAGATTTGTCCTTTTGATCGTCGATTGAACTCGGCGAAATTGATTGTTCTCCCTTTGCTTCTGGTATTTGCGGAACTTTAATATCATCAATCCTCTCACTGGCAACACTAGATGATCTAGATTTTTCCTTTTGATCGTCGATTGAACTCGGCGAAATTGATTGTTCTCCCTTTGCTTCTGGTATTTGCGGAACTTTAATATCATCAATCCTCTCACTGGCAACACTAGATGATCTAGATTTTTCCTTTTGATCGTCGATTGAACTCGGCGAAATTGATTGTTCTCCCTTTGCTTCTGGTATTTGCGAAACTTTAATATCATCAACCCTCTCACTGGATGATTTAGATTTGTCCTTTTGATCATCGGCTGAACTCGGCGAAATTGATTGTTCTTCTTTTTCTTCTGGTATTTGCGAAGCTTTAATATCGTCAAGTTTCTCACTGGATGATTTAGATTTGTCCTTTTGATCATCGACTGAACTTGGCGAAATTGATCGTTCTCCCTTTGCTTCTGGTATTTGCGAAACTTTAATATCATCAAGCCTTTCACTGGCAACACTAGATGATCTAGATTTGTCCTTTTGATCGTCGGTTGAACTCGGCGAAATTAATTGTTCTCCCATTACTTCTGGTATTTGCGAAACTTTAATATCATCAAACCTCTCACTGGATGATTTAGATTTGTCCTTTTGATCATCGGCTGAACTTGGCGAAATTGATAGTTCTCTCTTTGCTTCTGGTATTTGCGAAACTTTAATATCATCAAGCCTCTCACTGGCAACACTAGATGATCTAGATTTGTCCTTTTGATCGTCGGCTAAACTCGGTGAAATTGATTGTTCTTCCTTTGCTTCTAATATTTGCGAAATTTTAATATCATCAAGCCTCTCACTGGCAACACTGGATGATCTAGACTTATCCTTTTGATCATCGATTAAACTCGGTGACTTTGAGACATCAAATGTTGATTTCGGTTCTGTCTTATCACTGATAATGCTTAATGATCTTGTCTTATCGACAAAATCCGAATCGTCGATTATGTCAGACGTTTTTAATCCGTCAACATCTATTTTCTCTATTGACTGTTTATCATCTATCGGCTTATCAAAAACAATGCTTGGAGATACCGGTCTGTCATGTGATATAATATCGTCTGGCTTAACGTCCATTTTTCCGGAAATTGTTGAAGGTTTCTCCTCCATAGCTTTTTCGTGCGGTATTTTCACATCGACGAAATTCGGGGATTTATCACCCGCACTTTCATAATGTTCTTTAACACTACCCTTGTCATCCGATGTCTTCTCATCGGACTTATCGCTAGCAATGCTGGGAGATTTGCTTCGATCAACAGGTGGTTCTAATTTGTCAGAAACAGGCGATGTCGATTTTTCAAATAATTCTTTCTCACTCGCAACGCTTGATGATCTGGATTTATCGCCTGGTAGTTCCATCACATCTTTAAGATCTGGTTTTTCCTCTGTAACACTGGTCGCTTTCGAGCCATCGACAGATTTCTTCTCATCGGACTTTTCACTTGTTATGCTTGGAGATTTGCTCCTGTCAAGTTCTTCTTTCTTATCCGGAATTGGCGATTTTGCTTTTTCTGTTGATTCTTTCTGATCAGACGTAATACTCGTGACACTAGGTGACTTGGATTTATCCAGCGACGATTGTTCTGTAATATCCGTTAGATCAGTACTGCTCGGCGATTTCGATCGATCATCGAGTCCCTTCGAATCAGTTGTAACACTCATTGAGGCACCTGATTTTGATTTTTCATCGGATAGTTCTATAACATCCTTTAAATCCAGTTTCTCTCCAGCAATACTCGGAGATTTAGAACGATCAAGCGATTCTTTTTGTTCTTCTGTAATACTAGAAGATCTCGATTTCTCTGCGGTGACATCCTTTAAATCCGGTTTCTCTCCAGCAATACTCGGAGATTTAGAATGATCAAGCGATTCTTTTTGTTCTCCTGTAATACTAAAAGATCTCGATTTCTCTGCAATGACATCCTTCAAATCTGGTTTTTCTCTAATTACACTTGGCGATTTTGACCGATCTGCAGGTTCTGCAACATCTTTTAAGTCTATTTTTTCTTCTGCAATACTCGGAGATTTGGAGCGATCAATTGGTTCTTTTTGCTCACTCGTAACACTGATGACACTTGGAGATCTTGACTTCTCCACTGGTGTTTCTGTCATATCCTTCATTTCAGGTTTTTCGCCGGCGATAATGGGTGATTTTGAGCGATCTGGTTCTTTAGATTCGCTAATGCCATTTGTTACACTCGGTGATTTGTCTAATAGAGGTTGTATTATATCTTTCAAATCCGATTTATCTTCTTCAAGTTTCGAAGATTTCAATACATCTTTTGATATTTCAGGTGATTTCGCTACTGGAAACTGTTCCAGTTTGTCGTCTTTAACACTTGTGACACTAGACGATCGAGTTCTCTCGAAATCTACTTTTTCTATAGAAACGCTTGGTGATCTAGAACGGTCACTTATTTTCTTGCTATCTGATTTATCACTAGCTACACTGGGAGATCTATCTTTATCATGCGATTCTTCAGTCTTATCAATAGCTTTAGGCGAATCTGACCTATCAAAAATAGGAGATTTTGGTTTCTCTAAATAACGTTCCGTCACATCTTGAAGATCTGGCTTATCCACAGCTATGCTCGGTGACTTGGAACGTTCGGCCTCTTTCTTCTCATCAGATTTATCGCTAATCGCGCTTGGAGATTCGTCAATTGGTCCCTTTTCATCGTAATATTCACTCTCGAAAATAGGCAACTTTTCACTTACCGTTTCTTTCTCCATAATACTTGGCGATTTCAACTTATAATTTTCTTTCTCATCGACTTTATCACTTAAAATAGTAGGGGATTTATCGAGAGATTTAATATCTTGATCGGATTTTTCTAAAGATATTGGTAATTCTTTGTCTTCGGTTTTAATTTCTTTAATAGATTCAGGTAATTTTTTTATGTCTTTTTCAATAGCAACGTCTTCTTCAGTAACAGGTGCCTTTGCAAAATACATTTCAGATTTATCTGTAGGTGACTTCGAGAAAATTGTCTCAGCTGGTGAAACATCCTCTGAATGGAGCGATTCAGGTGTCTTTGAAACACCAATCGTTTCTTTTTTCTTAGGTTCTGGAACCTTCTCGATTGGAAGTTTTGATTTTTCAGCTAATTCTATTAGAGATTTCTGCGTTGTTGTATCAAGAGATGAAGGAGATCGTGATTTTTCGATTTTTTCAATTGGAGAACTAGATTTCTCGATTTTTTCTTCAGCTGGAGATTTCATTTTTTCAATTTTTTCATCTTCCTTAGTCGGAGATTTTGGTTCTACTTGTTCCTCTTTAGGCGACTTCGGTATATCTTTTTCGGCAATTTTATCTGATACCTTCAAGTCTTTTTCCATAGGAGATTTTGTAATATCTTCCAATTCCTCTGGTACCTTTGGCTTATGCAATTCTGATTTTTCCAAACTGTCTTCAAGATCCTGTGAATCACGAGGACCAGCAGGTGACTTTTCCAAGCTGTCTTCTGGAGTAATCTTATCCTTACCTTCTGGCGCAGATTTTTCAGAAATACTATCCTTTTCGGGAGTACTTATGTCCGAACGTGAGTCTTTATCTAAAAGTAATGAATCTTTATCTGGTGTAGATTTAGCAGATACATCCTTAAGAGAATCATCTGGAGTAACAGTTTTCGTAAAAGTTATGCTGCCGCTTGGACAGATCTCAATTTCCTCTCTGCCATCCTCACTACATGCTGTAACCAGCATTCTTTTGACAGTGCCATCGTCAAATGGTTTTGGTATATTTGCTGCTAATGTTTCTTGAGGACTCTTCTCTTCCTTAATTATTGGAGTTTCTTTAATTTCTGTGGTCTCTAATGGTTTAGATTTCTTATCGTCTTCAAGTAATTCTACTTTTGGCTCTTGTGTGAAGCCTGTTGCATCTGCGAGCTTTGTTTCTGCCTTCACTTCTTTAGCAACTTTTTTAAGTTGCAGTTCCTCGACTTCTTCTTTAATCGCAGGCTCAATTTCTTTCATTTCAAGTTTCTCGTCAATTATCTTTGGGCTTGGTATAATTGATTTAGAAATGTCTGGTGCGTCAATTGATGGTTGCTTATCGGAGAAATCTTTGGGCGTTTCCTTACTTGAGTCTTCGATTGAAGGCTTTTCTGCTTTTTCAGAGATTGATGGCGTCAATGTTGTAGCAGTCTCCTTCTGAAGAATGTCATCCGTCTTTTCCTTAGCCTCATCTAAATATTTCTCAGTAGTATCAACAATTTCTGATATTTCGGATATTTCCTGTTCTACAGGTTCTCGTTTCTCATCAATTGGTTTAATATCTTTTGCAATGTGAAGCTCTTCTATTCCCACCTTCCCTTTGGTTTCTTGCACGAATTTCTCGTCTGCTTCGATCACTTCACTTGTGGTATCTTCCACAGATTCTTCAATATCTTCTTTTTCTTTCATCTCGCTCGCTTTCTCAGGAGATTGTACATCACGTACTTTATATTCCTGCTCGACAGCTTCAAAATCGTCAATCACGTCTTTCTCATGTTCCTTCGTAACTGAAGACGGAATCTGTGAAATCGCTTTCTTTATATCAACTGTATCAGAAATTCTTCTGGGTATACTAACAAATCCATCCACTTCTTTCTCGATGTCCTCCTCTTCGGATGTGGCCAATAACTCCTCTTCAGCGCTCATTTCTTGCTCAAGCACATCTTCTTTCTTATCTTTTTTTAACTCAATTGGACTTTTCTTCTCTTCAATGCTGGGCATTTCTGCGACCGGTTTCTCAGTCAGTATTTGCGACTCTGGAATCGCTTCCTCCTTAATAATATGCGATAATTCTTCATCAGTTACACTAAGTATTATATGTCTCGGTATTTTTTTCTTAATGATAATTTCTTCGATAATCTCAATAATGATTTTCTTAGGCACCTTCTTTTTACCACATATTTCTTCAAGTTTTTTGATATTAATGTTATCTCCCTTGGTAACATATTCGTTAATAATATATTCTTCAACTTCTGCTCTTTCTTGCGAAATTATCGATTCAGTTTCTGGAATCTCTGGAATAGTAGTCTCAGCGACTAATTTTTCTTTTTCGTCCTCGAATATCTTTTTAAAAATTACTAATAATTCTTTCTCCGTAACATCAAGTATCGTGTTCCTGGGAATCTTTTTTTTAATAATAATTTCTTCGATAATTTCAATAAGAATTTGCTTGGGCACTGTCTTTTGAATAGAAATGTCGTCGATTGTCGATGCGGTAATCTTTTTTCCTTTAATAACGTATTCATTAACGATAAATTCCTCAATATAAGGCTTAAACGCGCCTTCATCGGTTAGTTTTTCTTTTCCGGTTGGAGCATCAGAAACTTCAGCAGCGAATTCTTGTTTCGCAGGTATGTCTATTTTTTGCTCCTCTGTTATCTGCTCCTCTGCCGATTGTTCTGGCGATTCTTCCGGCGATTTCTCTTGAATTATTTCCGATAATGCTTCTTCAGGAACGTTTAGTACCATATGCCTAGCAAGTTTTCTCTTAACAATGATCTCTTCAATAATTTCGATGATAATCTTTTTAGGCACAACTTTCTTAATAGAGATTTCTTGAACGATTTCTATGGTAATTCGTTTTCCTTTAACAATATATTCGTTAAGGATATATTCTTCGATCTCCATTCTCTTTTCAAGTGTGATAGATTCCTTCAGCCTCAAAATCTCTGAATCATCTATCACATTTTCTCTGAGAAGTCCCTTCTTCGTGATAATCTCTTCGATAATGTAAATCACGCGTTCTCTCGGGATGCGCTTCGTTACAGTGACATATTCAATCACTTCGATAGTAACCTTCTTCTTCTTCGTAATAACTAATTCTTCGATTATTTCTTCAATTGGCACTTCCTTGCTGAGAATTTGCTTGATATCCTCTGGCAATTCACGGTAACCAATTTCCAGTCCTTCATCATATATCTTGTCCGTGACAAATTTTGGCGAAGTTGGCGTAGAACCGGGAGTCACCATCACTATCTCCGCCTTCGCTGGCGAAATCTTTTGCTCGAAGACGATCATGGATTCTTCTATCTCGTCCTCCAGCTTCTTTTCGAAAGATGGCCGTTTTGCTACTTCCTTTACACATACGTCCTCGATACCAGCCTGCATCACATCTACCCGAGATGTATCATCATCCGTCGGTTTTTTATGTTGATCGCAAATATCTTGATCGTCTTTTAATATCTCCTCACAAATTTTTTGCGCATCCCGTTTATCTTTCGCTATATCCTTTATAGGCGATGTTATTATATCGTCCTTTTCTTTCACCACTTTTACACAAGGTTCTTCTTTTACCTCGAGAACGCCAGGTTTTTCGTATGGAAGTTTGTCGGGCTTTTCAAATTTCTCAAGCTCTTTATGAACCGGAAATACTTCAGTAACATCAACTTTCTTTGGCATTACAATATCTTCATGAACAAGTTTGAGTTCCTCTTCTTCTAATTTAGCAACTATTTCTGGAGATATTTTTTCACTTGATATAGAAGGCTTTCTTTCCGTCAAAATTGGGGAGATTTCTTCTTTCGATGGTTTTCTCTCCGTCGAAATCGGTGAAATCTCTTCTTTTTTAGGAGTTTGCTCGAATAATGCTTTGTCGGAAAGAAAATCGTCTTCTCTGAGTACCTCGGCGACTTTCTTCACAATTTCTATGACATCCTTGGGTTTATCTTCGAGCTCGATACCGGCAGTGCCAGCAAGGACTTCTCCGACATCCCTAACAGCTTCTTTCATATCTCTATATGGACCCTCTATTTCCTCTTCATATTCCTCTTCGAATTCTTCATCTTTTGGTATAGCAAACTTGACTTTTTCCGGTTCTTTTATGTCAGGTAAATGGCTCTCGATATGTGGCTTTATTTCTTCCAATTTCTCAGCCACCCCTTCCAAAGTATCCTTTACTATATCTTTCAGGGCGGATGGCGTTTCATGTATCTCAACTATTTCTTCTTTAATTTTATCTTCCAAAGATTCCAATGAATCTCTTAAACTATCTTTCACAGTTTTGAATTTTTTCGAAGCTTCTTCCAAAAGTGCCTTTACCTCTTCTACATCTTCTCCAATATCTTCTTCCTTCAAAAGTTCAATCTCCTTCGCAATTTCCTTGTCTTCAATTAGTTTTGTTGGTGAAACGCCTGGTGATACATCTTTTGTAAGAAATGATTCCTCGATTTTGGCTTCTATTTTTTTAATTTCATCTAACTTATCAGTAAAAAGCTTTTCTTCGATATCCGGCACACTCTTCCTCTGTACGTCCAGTATCTCTTCCTGTATAAATGCCGCAGTTTCCTTGATGGCAGCTACTTTTATGTCAACAGTCGTAGGTTTCGCCTCTTCAAATGTTTCGGGTTTGTCAACAGGCTTGCCAATTTTAGGGAATACCTTCTCCATATCAACCTCTTCTAAGACCGTTTTCTCTTGTACTTTTGGTTCTTTTGGAGAACTTGATTTTGAAGATTTTTCATCGGAATCCTTTTCAGAATCCTTCTTTTTCTTAGTCAATTTATCGATACCTTTTTCAAATTTATCCGCCACTTTGCCAAAGAAACTAAAAACACTCTTCTGCTCTTTTGCGGGCGGAATAGGCGATTCTTTATCTTCTTGCGCAGTTGGTGATAATTTCTCTTCTTTTCCCTTCTCGAAATCTTCCATTCGGTAGAGCTTAGGATCGACTTCTTCATGAACCGGAAGATCAGCGACCTCGTCTGGTGTTTTAACAATGTCTCTTTGCAAATTCGGCATCGCCTGGCGAACATCAAATACTTTGACTTCCGGCTTGGCCGCCACGATAATAGTTTCCGGAATGACTTCTTTTTTCAGCTTTGCAGAAGCATCCTTCTCTTTTACTTCTTCAATAACATGTTTTTCATCAATATCCTCTTTTATTTCATCCAATGGTATTCGCTCGTCTTCTGGTAAAGTCGGAGCAGTTGTGGTGGCCCCCGATTCTATTGTCGAGATTCGCTCCTGAGATTCTTCCATCTTTTCGAGAATATTCTCTTTCTGATCGACATCCGGCTTTATGTCTGTATCGGTTGTTTTTTTCTCCGATGAATCTAATTTGTCCGGACTTAAACTGGACGGTTCTTTCGTGATGTCCTCGCTGTCTTTTTTACCGGAGTCGTCCTTCTCTTCGGCTTTCTGTACGATTTCGGCTGCGGATGCTATTATCTCTTTTACTTCTTCCTGTAATTGTTCCTTATGTTCCGAAGATAATTCAGCGATTTCTTTCTCTTCTTTATCCAAAATCTTTTCTATTTTTTTTTCCGGGCTGTCATCTTTTTCCTTCTCCTCAGGTTCCTCCTTCTCGCCCTTTTCCTTCATTGCCTCCACGTCTTTTAATATTTTTGCCTTTTCTGATTGAGCTTCATCGAGAACGTGCTTTTGTTCGCCCTCGCCGCTCTGAGCAGAATCTTCGGTGTAAACCTCTTCTTTCTCCACAATAAGATATTCATCTTCTTCAGTCAATTCTTGACTTTCTTTTCTAGAACCTTCCTTCTTAGGTATATCTTCAATCTCGGCGGTAACATCCTCTTCTGTAATATCCTCCTCTTTCTTGTCAGTGGCTTCAGCCGTGATTTCATCATCACCTTCAAAACGATCGTCCTTTCGAATTTCTTCGATTCTTTCCGCCTTTTGTAAAACAGCTTCAATTTCTTCCACTACCTCTCGCTCTTCTTTGAGATCTGCCAATACCTTACTTTCTATTGAATCTAATGATATATCTTCAGATTGTTCAATTAAGCTCTTATCAATCGGTTTTATAACTTCTGGTTCTATGCCAGATGGAGTGGAGACCGTGGAAGAATCGGTAGTGCCTTTGTCGCCCTTCACTTTACGAATAACACCATCTTTGTCTGATTTTACAGAAGCAGTCGGAGTACTGCGAGTAGATTTCGCCGGACTACCCGGCATACGGGCTTTATTGGGACTAACTGGTTTCGCGCGACGACTGATCGGCTTCCTGTCCATTGGTTTAGGTTTTGCTGTCACCTTGACAACTGGTGCTGCAGAATCCTTCACGGCAGACTTCTCGACTTCAGATTTCTTCTGTTCCACCACTTTCCTGTTATTAGCTTCCTTAGCACTCTTAGCTGGAAGACTTGGAGCAACCTTGACCGCCGGTTTCACTTTCGGTATAGCTTTCGATATCTCTGTCTTTGTTGCAGCACCATTCAGAGTCTTCTTCGGAGTAGTCGGGGAAGATTTCACAGCGTCTCTTTTCTCTGCACCAGAAGATTTGGCTTTTTTCTCAATCAACTTCGGCTTTGGAGTTACTTCGCTTTTCTTCAACTCAACTTTCATCTTGCTTTCTTTTGGTTCTTTCTTTTTTGGTTCGGGCTTGGGCTTCGGTTCTTTAGGTTCCTTAGATTCTTTAGATTCTTTAGGTTCCTTGATTTTCTCAGGTTCCGGTTTAATTAAATCAGTCTTTTTCACATCTTCTTCTCGTTTTTCGGCCTTTTCTACTTTAATTGATTCCTTCTTGGGTTCTTTTTTCACTTCTTTTAGTTCTTTTTCAATTTTCTTACTCTCTTTTGTCTCAGTCTCGATCTTCTTATTTTCCACAACTTTCTTCGTCTTCATTTCGGTTTTAGGTTTATTAGCAGGTATAATCGGCGTCGATTGAGGGATACTCTTGGATACAGTCTCGTCTGCGGCCTTGATGGATTTTGGCTCCGATGGTTCTCTCTTCTCTTTCTTTGTCTCCAAAATTTTCTTGGGTTCCTTCTCGATAAGACTAAGTTTTTGCTTGGTTGACTTATCTCTGAGTGTCGCTAAAGACACTGACGGTGACAGAGTCTTCGCTGAACATACTGGATGCTTTAAAAAGTCCAGATGTTTTAATCGTTCGAAACCTTCGAAGATCTTGTGTTGCGGCGTACTGCCGGGAAAGAGAATCCGCGTGATGTTATCCTCGGGATTGGCCGGCTGCCAAACTAGAAGCGCGCATATCGACACGAGATTCTGCATCGGGAATGTGAGATTGTTCGAATCTTTTTTATGAGAACCTGCAAACAGCTTCGAATCTGACGTGTGCCACTTCGCCAAGAATTCGCGCACTTCGCGACTGTCCTTGCTCGGACTGAGCACGTACATATCCAGCGTGCCATGGCCCACTTTATGATAGAGGTTGATCGGATCGGGATCTCTGTAGCAAGGATGAGCGCGAAGATTAATGTGTCGAAGATTCACCACCATCTCTTGACCAATATCAGTGAGGTTGAAAATGAGCGGATCAATATCCTTATCTCCGTCGGGTGAATTTGATTGTCTTCTTTCCTACATTATGTATATTTTTAATGAGAAAATATACTGATTTAGCGATTATCACGAAAAATTTTAATTATTATTATTATTATAAAATATACTGAATTTTCTTTAAAAAAAAAATGAATTAAAAACAATGACTACTTACGACTAAGTTACAGAAGAAATGGCCGATCTGAGGATAGACGTGCATCTCCTTCTTCTTGCGAAGAACGCTAAACATGCCACCGATGTTACTATTATTTATCCTAGTGACTAGAACAGCATCCAATCGATCGAGATGCCTGGTGAAATCCCAAAAACATGCTTTCCTAGCAAAGCCGCCGTCGACGAGCATGTTGAAGCCGTTTATACCGAAAAGTGCGGCGTCACCTTGCCCACCGGGGAAGACGTATAAGGTTGGATGGCTAAATCTAATGTTTCCAACGACGTCGGACGGTTCCATGAGCTGGTCCAGTGTTTGCGACACGAGGTACTGTCCGATGTAATTCGTAAAACTCATGATAGCCGGTACGCCGGCTGTGAGAACATCGTCGGGGTTTACTCTGACTCTGCAAGATCTGTTCATAAAAAGGACATGAAATATTTAAGAAAGATGTATGTTATTCAATATATTATTTATGTTTTTAATTATTATTTTTTATTTTTTGTGTGCAATATCCTATTTTTGTTATGCATGAACAGCTTCTATTATGTGACATAAATTAGAATCGATCATGTAGAAAAATGTGCAAGAGAGATATACACCTGCAACAAGTCTCTTTCGACAATCGACTTGTCGTCCAATCGCCGACACCCGCGCAATGTATATCTACGGTAACGCTATTCTCGTAGGCACGAAGGACTCTTTGCACCTCATGTTCGCTGAATGCATCCAGAAAGTCTGCGAGACTGAAGGTTCCATCCTGAATAACAAGAATTGTTTGTCGTTTTGTAATAAGATTATTCTCTGCTAATATTTCGCATAATTATTAATTAATGTTTCATTTTTGGCAAATAACAATCGAATATATTCATATGAAATGTATATACCTGCAATATCCAGGAACCATTACCACCGAATGTGTATCCAGCGTGTATGATGTGCCGATGTTTCGTGAAGCTTGCGAGAAGATTGCGAATACACTGTAATAATGTATTCGTCTGTGGGTGAATGAGAACTTCCGTTACGAGGTTCTCGGTAGCATATTGGATCAATCTTTCGCCTGAAAATGAATTTCATTTTCATTAATAACTTATGTGACAATAATTAATAATTTCTACGACATAATAATAATTAATTATGTATAATATAACATAAAACGAATCAAATCAACATGTTTGTGACAATAAATTACCATTTCTGGCTTCTTCGCCTTCGGGGGCTTGCGCTACTAAGGCCAATAATTCCTTCTCCAGATCTACATGACAACTGTCCTTGTCCCATGATAGAAAACCTGCAACAATCGAAGAAAAAAACGGTGATTGCTAAATATAGCTGAACTATATTTTGAACGGAATCTTCTTACTCTATACATATTAAGCAGATACTGATGTCGGAAAACTTATGGAATGAAATCTGCATATAAATCACTGTTCGTCTTCAAGATTGAGTGTAACGTTGTAGGTATTTCGATGATATGCTGTCTCATGAACTTGACTTTTCAAGGCTCTGATATTTTGAATGGAAACTAGGTTGTTCTCGTTTTAGATCATCACTGTGTATGCGCGATTATGTTGAACTAGAGAAATCAGCTCATCAAAATTTGTAAGCGATTATCTATCTTGAAAATATATGACATAATACAACAGAGAAAATAATCAAGAAATTATGAATGTTATTCAACTTTATAATTTTTCTAAAAAAGCCTTTTTAATTGAGAAAAAGAGAGAGAGAGAGATTAAGAGAGATGTTTTAAATATTGCTTAAAGTATTTTTAAACATGGCCGAGTATAAAATGTTTAGGTGAATGGAATAGTAGGTCATAACTGCGTATAAATGTGTAAGACTGCAGTGGTTTGGCTTCATAGAATAGGGATAGTTCAGCCATCGTGAGTGATGTAAGGTTAATGTTAAGATGTTAGAGACTGTCAAGACCAGTTATAGATTGATTGATGAGAAAAGTAAATTAAGTATTACATTATAACACACATTTTTCTCTGATGTTTTATCAACAAATGTGTAGATTGAAACGGATATAAATAATAATATGTCTTCATTTATATTTGTGCTGCTTTACAATTACAATTGTAATTGATAAGTTACGTTTAAAATTAAAAAATACTGTTTATATAAAAATTAATGAATTATTTTTATTCAAGGCAGCTTAAAAACACAAAAATTTATATTATAAGATATAATTAATATCTGGTAAGAAATTAAATAATTATTTATAATGTATTATTATTATTATATTATTTATTATTAATAAATTTAAATACTTAATGTTTCATTTAAAATTTTAGAATAATTATATTTTTACTATATGAATATGAAACATTAATTACAAATTACGTTAATGTAAGAAAAGAAAGAGAAAGTGTATCTCAAAACTTAATGGAATAATTAGGATGAATGAATCAGCAGCTGCAGTTTGTCATAAGGGTTGCTTGGGGCGGTCGTTTTATGACGTCACCAACACCGCACCCCGTCACGTGGTTCCTCACCAGCTGGCAATCGATCGTCGCACATCCTGTACCCACCCTCTATTGCCAACTTTAACGCAGAGATACTCCACTTTTGCTATCATACAAAAAATTTCCGACGCTGTCAGTCATTTCTCGTCAAGATAAAAAATTTTTAAATAATTATAATGAAAATGATAAGAAAAAAAAGAAGACCAAAAAAAAAAGAAATTATTCTTAATATGACTAATATGACTGGTATATTATTATTGTGCTTTATAAATATATTGAATGTATCAAATATATGTTTATTCATTAAATTATAAGATAGCACGCAACATCTTATATCTCTAGAATTAATTCTCTATAATTTCTGTAAATCGATTTTATCACTCAATATTTCACAATTCAATCCAAGTGCAAGGCTTTTCTTAGATTCACTTTCACATGCGAAAATATTTACAAAATTTCACCTGAAATCTTATATGAAATTAAAGGATTGAATGATACAGCATAATGGAACGTAACTCGTTGCCAAGGGAGTTCGGACTCGCTCTCGCGTAATTCTATACTAGCGTGTACACAGACAAGTCTGGTTCGAGACGTTGCTTGGCAACGTCGTAGTATCAATCAATGCCGAGGATAGAGAGGAGCTGGAAAATTAACGAAAAAGAAGAAAAAAGGAGAGAAAATGCGCGAGCAGAAGGCGTTAGTCGGTGCAACGAATTCCGCGCGGCTTCCTCCCTGCCTCCAATTTTATCCCGCAATAAGTAAATACGTGTTGCATACTTTCCAGTAAACGTGGACGCTATTATTAGGAGTTCAACTGACGAAATATATATCACATTTTCGCGAAATTACATTCGAAATAGCGAATACGCGGAATATGAATTATGCGAACACACACAGATACACATTGCCAATACAAACCGAACTTATTAATTAATCAATCAATTACATTTCAAAACTTTCTGTGTAATTTCGGTTGTATTATAGTTTTTGAACAGTTAAATCTTCAATCGATTAAGTAGATTAATGTTAACAGAAAAAATGGTATATGCAATAAATTGAAAGGATCGCAAGTCCATTATATCGAGTCTTATCTGACATCAAAAAGTCACATTGTTAGAGCAGAACATATATCAAGCTCATGTGTCAAACTGATCGGAAGCCCCAAAGCTGATACGAGAGAAGCCGTTTCTTAATGCTCATAGCTGAGTGCCGTTACTTAATTCTCACTGACCCTTACAGGTTTTGACTGCAATATCAATATCAGAAGCATCGCAACCGAGTCCGAAAATTTGTATAGAACAAATCTTCTTGAAACGTTTAGTCATGTCAGACTCGATTTTTTTCAAGATCAAGATATAAAATGTATTGGTCAAGACTCAAAAACAATTTTTTAAATGCAGATTTCGTGCTGTGAGCACGCAAATAAGTTTTGCATTTATTAGAAGAAATAAATTTATCAAAATTGCGATTTTTATTCATCGTGACGCAACTTTGTGAATTTTTTGATCTATTTAATATTGATGGAGATGGATTCAAACTTAAATCACATCTTCACCTGACACATGCTTCATATTTTATTTACATTTGTAATTCTTGCTTTGGAAATAATATTCTTGCGAGAAACAAATGTGAATCTCTTTTTTTCTGTTTATTTACTAGAATGAATCTTCTAATTCCTAATTGATATCAACATGTGACATATTACCTTACCGCATTGGCTGCTAATTTAGTACTTTAACGATGACTATTTAATGAACTCGATTGTTCGAAATGAAATAATGTTAATCTATCGATAACTACCATGTCTAGTCATGGTAATCATTCAATCAATTAACAGAATCAAAATACTATTAATTAAACCACGAGATGAGAACAGCAATGCGAATGGATCGTTCAATGATTCTTCAAGTACTAATTAGTAAAAATAGAATGAAAAACAAATCAAATAAATCAATTCTCGAGCATTCCGGGTTTTAGAAATTCTTTTTCAATTTTCGAGACTTGTTTTTCAAGCTCTAAATATTCACAGAGCGTTCACTTTTGTAAATTTATTTTATAAACGGCAACAAATCGAAGATAAATATAGTTTACAATTGCAATTAAAGGCAGTCTGATCGTTAATTGAAACAGATGTTTTAATTAAATTGCCCACGAGTTTCATCCGCGAATTTCCATTCGACAGAATAAGCCATCGCGCAATTAAAGAAACCGCACGGAATTTGAAGCTTTGAGTCAAGTAAATCGTGCATTAAAAAAAGCAAAAACATTTACGAGTTCCGATAAGTAAAATGGAAAAACGTTGCGACATTAAAGTGTGGCTCCAATGATATCTGCCATCGAGTGGACGAAAAATGGCGCTGGATAATCCGTCAGCGATTTATCTCGCGAATACTGAAGGGCGCGTTCGTTCTACCGAAAATCCCCGGCTTTAATCCCATAGTACAATATTTTGTCATCGTATCACACGAATACGCGAATACGTGTGAGCGTACATACACACAGCACACATTTTCATGGAACAAACCGCGGACGTCGATGTATCCAGCGTATTCCACGATTTCCTACTTTAGAGCGTGACGTTCTGACACGCCACTTGTATCATACACACAATGGGGATGTATCTAAATAGGCGATCGTCGTGTGAAAAGTGTAGGAGGACTATTCACGATCAACCGTGGTAATATATACGGCGCACGTCGCAATATATTACATTTACAAAAAGGGGAAAAAATCCAAGGCCAGCTTTATCTAACAAGATTTTCTCTTCGTACCGCTAACTCGATCGTCCTCCCTGACCTATAATATTTCTGCTCCGAGCGATGTTTTTCTCCTTTCTAACTGGCGTCGCAAAAATAAAAATGTCTCGAATGAACGTGATTAGATGTAATTCAATGTATCGTCGCTCGAGAAATGTTCATACATAAACTCACTTTCATAAACTCACAAAGTATGTAGAAGAAATATTTGACACTCGATGTCCCTATGGATTAGCAACTTAAGCTAAGTATAGACAAAACTGCGTTTCCTCGCGGTAGCGGCTCCCGCCTCGCGCATCCCTTAAAGCACTCGCGTTTCTCGATTTGCACTTTTCTTTTTTTTTCTTGGACCGACGACGGATGCCGCGAATGCTGGGTTTGTCCCGACTATGTTTAGAAATGGTTCTCGTTGTCCTGCTCGCAATGCGCCTACATGTGTGTAATGAGTACACGTGCGACATAAAGTATCGCTTTAACAGCCGACAAAAGAGATCATTACGCATGTAACCGTACATTATATCAATCGATTCAAATTTCTCTTCTAAAATGTAATAACATTTTTTTTTTTTTTAATAAAATACATCTAAATTTTTATTGTAAAGATTTTAGATAAGGAAAAGAAGCTATACCAACAGCAAAAGTAATTTTAATGGAACATCGCGCATCTATAAATATAAACATGCGCCAATGTTCCAATATCTTGAAAATATCGATTAAACTGAAAAATATAAGCGGACGTAAAGAGCCTTTGTAATGTAAGAGGGTCAAAAAGTTTTCTAGACAAATCGCTGACATCGTTCTCGATTAATCTCTCAGGAAGAAATGTCAAAGAGGAGGTCGATAATGACCCATTATTTCGATTTGAGTTTCGATAGAGATAATTCATACGCATTTCATTATACAGATATTACAATCTCAATTTCAGAAATGAATAATTATTTTGGAAATGATAAAGATGAAAATAACAAATTTTTCTTCCCGATAATTTTATTTTTATATATACAGAGTAAATTTTGGTCGGATTTAATACGATAGAATAATACGATACAATTGTGTAGTACATG